TGCTTTCACTGGTGCTCTTTAGCTTTTGATTATAATTTTAGGGCCAGGGTATATTTCTTTCACTGCCTCTAATTCTAAAGACAAATTGTGTTTCTTTTGTACTAGTTTCAAAGTCAGGGTGTTTTCCCTGTTTCTTTATCCTTCAGTAAAGAATAAAGTGTTCCTTTACTGACTCAGGTTTCAGATCCTGGGTGTGGGTGTGTTTCTTTCACTGGTTCTGGGTTCAGAGTCAAGATGCTAAGTGATTGGTTGGTTTTATGTTTCAGTTGGTCAGAGGCAGAGTTGGCTCTGGTGTCAGGGCCAAACTATGTTTCTTATGCGGGCCCTTTTATCCTACAGATTGCAAGTTCAAACCTTAGTTGATCTACAGAGTGACTAAAAGCCCAGTTTATGAAAAGTTGAGACCCTGGGGTTAAATTCTACTATATGAGGAGGAGGAGGGGAGGAGCAGGGGAAGGGGAAGCGGAAGGAGAAGGAGAAGGAGGATGGGAAGCGGAAGGAGAAGGAGAAGGAGGATGAGGAGGAGGAAGAGGAGGAGGGGGAGGAGGAGAAAGAGGAGGAGAAGGAGAAGGAGAAGGAGAAGGAGAAGGAGAAGTATAGTGGGAAATTACCAATACGGAGTCAGGTAGAAATATAAGGGCATTTAATAGGGAAAAGCCTTACTTACAGAGTGACCTAGTCAGTTGGCGTGGCAACAGTCTATATGCAAGCCCAAAAGAGAAACCGAAAGTGAAAATGCAGTCACCCTACATCCCCTGACCAAGCTTGTGAGGGCGTGGTCAAGCACACCTGTAGCCAAGCCCTAAGTAGGCGTGGCTACAGCTTCCCCTACAGAGAAGGGGGAGAGAGAAATCAGGTAGGAAGGAAAGAAGATAGGATACAAAACAATGACATTATTTTACCATGATCTAGAGAGTAAGAAGACTTCAATCCAGTAATAAATAAAAGGAGTTACTTGGTTTGCTTATAAAATATGGTACTCGAAAGAGTCTGAGAATGACTATCTGCTTGCTAGAGATGTGTAAGTTCCACTGATAACTTTTAGCAGCTAATTCCCTTCCAGTGTTAAAGGCCTGAGAGCACCCTGGAGATGTGCTAATGTTGACTACAGGTGGAAATGCTAGGAAATACGGAGTCGTTATTCCAACTCATAAAAGACTAAAGAGAAGACATATTATATACACATATATATCCAACTTTATATTTTTATATTTAGTGTTTACCACAGTGAGAATAAAAGACAAGGTAAGATACAGGATTCACTGATAATGACAGATGATGACAATCACCAAAAATACTCACAGGGGATTAAGTTTGACTTATACATAGGCACTTGCTATTCCTACTCTTCTTCCACATCCTCTTCCTCCTCCTCTTTGTTCTCTTCCTCCTCCTCCCTCTCCTCATCCTCCTTCAGTTTTTATAGCTTCTAGCTCCATTCATTATGGCATTTCCTCTCCCCATTACCCATGTCAACTGTCTCTGGAAATCCTGTCAAATCATACTCATATGGATGTTTCACTATTCTTAGCTGTCTTCTAATGCGGTTGAATTGACAACCAGTAACAATCATCATATGTGGACATTCGAGGAATAAAGACAAAGAAACATTTGAGCCTCTCCTCACTGAAGAGGTTATTTATCACTGTCAGGATTAAAAACAATTTTACAAAAGTCATGAAAAAATTATCAATTACGTGGAATAAAACATGATGAATGCTAATAATTCATTGACCTGTGTATCTGAGCAACAGATGAAATGGAGAGTAGTGACATACACAAGAATGAAAAATCTGATTAAATTCCCAAAATCTTAAATAGAATACTCCCTAGTCCCAATGATCACTATTTTTATTTAATGAATAAAGACCAGAGAAATGATCCAATATTATATAGAAATGGGAATGAATGTCATAATTTTAAAAACCGAACCAATTCTGATATAAAGTATAGAGTATCAAATAGCAAAGGCAATTTGGCAACTGGAAAATACATTGATAGCACTGGACATTCTAACTCATAAAAGACTAAAGATAAGACTATACTACACATATATCAAACTATATTTTTTTCTATTTTGCATAATTAGGATTTTTAGCAGTGAGGATAAAGGCCAAGATAAGATACAGGGTTCTTTGATAAACACACTCTAGAGATTCAATAACATTAAAATTTGAAAATAAAACTGGAATCAGTTACCCACTTTCATGAAAAGGGCACAACTTTGAAGCTAAGATTGGAAGGAAATAATGAGGATTAAATAGTAAGTTTGAGATATGCCAAAGTCTGTGATATTCAGTATTTGGAACCACCAGGCAGATGACTCAGGTGGCACCTACCATAGCTTCATTCATGAATTCCCTAAAAATAACTTCCTCAAATGTGAACTCCAGCCTCAAAAAATCAGGGACATGAACTACACAATCAGATATGTTTATTGTATTTACAGACATTCTTTAGTTGTTTCCCGATGTTTGAAAATCAAAAATACGTGTCAAGAAACTCTATTACCAAATGATGATTCACTTTCTGGTTCACAGGTAGCAAACTTTTCACTGTGCTGATAGGGCATAAAGTGACAGAGAGCTCTCCTAAATATTTTACAACATGAATGCATTTTTCTGTTGGTCCTTTTTTAACAATTTTGTCAACTCCCATACTTACTAATCCTTATTTCATAAGTATTTTGGTGTATATTGCTTGATTTTTAAAATGTCTTTCAATTATTTTTAAGAACATAATATAATTGAATCATTTCTCCTTCTTCTGTCCTTCCTTTAAACCTCTCCATATGCCTCTTATTATTTTCTTTCAATTCATGGGCTCATGATACAATCCCTATAGCCACAGAGGTTAGATATAGACTAGGGGAGTTGGGAAGAAAGACAAAAAGTAAGGAGAATAGTATATGAATTTATGAAGAAACTGGGTTGAGGGTGGAAGATAATGATTAAACAGGAAAAAGGAAGAAGGAGTAAATGGAAGGAATACAGAGAGGAACAGCTAAAATTAAGGGCCATTTGAGGGGCCATATGTAACCCTAACACAGTAGAATCTTCTTTAAATGTATAATATCGGAAAGAAATCTAAATGGAATCAAAAATAATGGAAAGTCATAGCTCCAATTCGATCTCCATTGCAACTAAATAGAAGTTCCAGGGGCAAGAAGAGGTTACATAAATAGGTTTGATGACCAAAGGTGTCCCACAGAAACTCCCAAAGAACTCAGTTATTGCAAGGGCTATTGGTTACTCTTGAAAAATGGATTGTAAAGTCTTATTGCTAAATATAGTACTTCTATATGTCATTGAACATGGAGAGACTGAGCTGGTGCCGAACTAGAACCTTCACCCCTAGAATTCATGGTACAGGAAGGTACTCTGCAAGCTATCAGAGGACAAAAGTATACTTGCAACCCAGCTACAAACCCTTTAGTCTTCACTGATGACCTGCCTGCATCATACATTGGTACAATAAGGGCACAAAGCTTCTGGTAGTAACAAACCAATATTTGATTGGATTTACAGCCCAATCCATGAGAAGGAGACCATTCCTGACATTGCTAAGGTGGCCAACATCCTGGCATCAAATAGGCCAAGGACCTAGGGGAAATCCAATCAGCATGGTTCTGACAAAAGGGCATTGCCACAAAATAACTCCTATATATATTTTTACTATGCCCATAGATCAGTGTCTCACTCAGCCTTCTTTTCCTGAAGCAGATGGAAACTGACACAGGGGTCAACAAGGGTAAAGAGAGTGAGAAACTTTGGAACATTTAGTCCTCAATGGGATGTCTACATCAAATCTCTCCCTGTATTCTCACATTTAAATAGAAAAAGAGTCAGAAACATTGTTAAGAGCCCATGGGAATGGTGGTCATCAAGGAAACAAGGCATTCTAGATACAACAAAGCAGACACACATATAAATTTAGAGACAGTGGCAACATGTACAGGTCTTCACAAGTTCAAACCAGATGGGATCCTGGGGATGAAAGGAGGAGTTGCATAAGTTATCTGCAATTGACAGCTGCTTGCGAAGGAAAAATTAGTGTTCTTCAATGGAGTCTCAATGGTTATATTAATCACACTTAACGATGGCCGCATGCACATGAGTAGATGAAAAACCCAACGTGAACATAATGGCATTTTTTGAAATGTTTTGTCTCATATATTTGTTAGGGATTTTTTTTTATCCTACTGATCTTTTGTTTACCTATTCCAATTTTATATTTATGGTTTCTTTGTTTATTCATTTGTTGTACATGTGTGTGTGTGTGTGTGTGTGTGTGTGTGTGTGTGTATGTGTCTGTGTTTCTATTGCCTTTTCTTTTTTTCCCCCTCTTTGTATGTTGTTTTGTTTTATTCTGGTCTGTTAACTTTTTAATAGCCTGTTTGTTCTCTAAAGAGAAAGAGAGAGAAGAAGAAGGCACAGAGTTTGATGGACAGCATGGTAGGGATCATTTGAGGAGATGTAGAAGGGAAATCTCATCTTAATATACTGTATTAAAATTATTTTCAAAAAATATTTTAAGGAAAATTTCATGGTCTTGCTTTTCATTAATTATTGTCGCATATATATATAAATGCATACATATGAATGGTGTGTGTTTGTGCATATATGCAGGTGTATTTGTAAGTATGACCTTTTTAGTCTGTATAATGTTAGTTTTATGAAAATATTCAGGATTTAACACTTGGTATTATAAAGATAATTGGTGTTTTCTTCCCAGGAGAAAATAACTCTCCAACTTTCAGCATTTCTTATTTGCAAGTAATTTTTTTGTGTAGCACTGAGACCTTGTGGACGTTTCCTGGTTCATTCTAGCTATCCATTGTTGTTGTCATTGTTTACCTCATGTTTACTCAGCCCTTGTTAGTGGCTTATTTAAAAAGACGTTAGTGCATATATGCAAATTAATAAAAATCAATATGACATTAGTAACTCTTCTCTACTGTGTGCTAAAAATACCACCATTAATAAATGTAAGCTTTTATCTTAAAGCCACCATTTATTTCTGAGCCTGACCATGGCATCTTTCACATCCTTGTTCCTTAGGCTGTAAATCAGAGGGTTTATCATGGGGATGATGAGGAGGTAAAAAACTGATGTCATTTTGTCTTGGTCTAGTGAGTAGGCAGAACTAGGTCTGAAATACATGAAGAGCATGGTCCCCTGAAAAATCCCAACTGCAGTCAGGTGGGAGGCACAGGTGGAGAAAGCTTTGAAGCGCCCCCCAGCAGAGCTGATCTTTAATACAGATGAGATGATGTAACAGTAGGAGACTAGGACTCCTGAGATGGTGCTCAACAAAATGAAACCAAAAAGGGTGAAAACAACCAGCTCATTAGCTTGCGTGTCAGAACAGGAAAGGAGGTAGAGTGGTGGTAAATCACAGAAGAAATGATTAATCTGAGTAGAGCCACAAAAACATAAACTGAATGCCAATGTGGTATGTATCAAACCATCTACAGTACTTGCTAGGTAAACTAAAGTTAAGAATTGGTAGCAAACCTTACTAGACATGTCCACAGCATACAGCAGGGGCTTGCTAATGGCCTTGTATCTATCAAAGGCCATCACTGCCAGCAGCATGCATTCAACATCTACAAAGATACAGACAAACAAGAGCTGAAGAAAACAGTCAATAAAGGGAATTGAATATTTCTCTGAAAGTAGGTCCACCAGCATCCTAGGTCCAACTGCAGTGGAATAGCAGAGGTCAGAGAAGGCAAGGTGGCTGAGGAAGAAGTACATTGGTGTGTGAAGCTGGGGATCCATCCTGATCAGTGTGATCATTCCTACATTTTCCAGCAGGATAGTGACATAAACAACCAGAAACACTGTGAATAAAAGCACTTTCATGCCATGCTTACTGGTAATTCCCAAGAGAAAGAATTCTGGCTGCGAAGAACAGTTGTCTATATCCATTCTTCTTCACTCTGTGTCTAAGTGACCAGAAAAAAAATTACCGTGCTGTGTTAAGGCAGGGCTTTTTGTATGGATAGGTTAAGTTATTGTTCATAAAGAAAACATAATACCATTTTAGGTAGTCTATTCATTATATGAATTATACTGAGGAAGCAGCCCAGATAAGGGACAATATGTGTACTTAACAAAAACTTCTATGGCAGAACTTTGATCTACACTCAGTTAAAAATGTATGTTCATTATCTTTCTGACGTTTCTATATCTCTACCACTCATTATTAGTAAGTGTATCTGAATGAAATAGAAGCTAATCCAGAGGCAACACAATAAAAAGGGAAATATAGAATTAACTGACAAGCTACACAGAGCTTCTCATTTCCATATCTAACAAGTTCAGAATTACTATGTTTAAGAAAATTGACCATATTAGTTGTATTGTTTACTTAAATTAATTATAAAACACACAAAATTTATTAGATAATAAATATCAATTATTATTGCATTATTTGGGGTTTATAGCATTTACTGTAAATTAAAAATGATTTATTTAAAAGTTTGAACACTCCTCTTTAATGGTGCATAATTTCTTTTTTATTTGAATTAGAAACAAGATTGATTTACATGACAATCCCAGTTCCCTTCTCCCGGTACATAATTTCTTAACTGCTATTTTTTCACCTGGGCCCAAACTATCTACAAGAGACCAGAAGAAAACTAAAAAAGAAATTTGGGAGCAACTGCTTGCAAGCAACAGGATTGCTCATCTTTTGGCTTACAAATTGACTTTTTATTTCTGTGAATATGAGAACAGAAAAAAAAGTCTGTTACATTGCCTGTTTCCAGTCTTAACATCTAAATATGTATGTTCACATCATAAGATGTCTTTGAGTTTCTTCGTTGCTGCATGAAAAGGCAATTGGATTCTGCTCTATTTTCCCAAAATATTGTGGTTGGTGTAATATACAGATTTGAGCTGTTACATGTTGCAATCCAGAAAGTGAACATGCTATTACTTTTTTAATGAAATTAGAAGATTATTATTATTATTAATGTTGCCCACACCACATCATGGGTGCCTAGCTTTTAAAAGGAAATTACATATTAAAATCATATATATAAATATATATATATATATATGTGTGTGTGTGTGTGTGTGTGTGTGTGTGTGTGTGTGTGTGTCTTAGCAGATGTCAAAATATTATATAGTTTCACAAACCTTAAACAAGGAAATGGCTCACAAATTGACAAATATCTAACAGAAATATGCCTCTGATCATAAAATGGCAGGATTTATGTAACTCCATAAGCCAATCAAGTCATGTGTTTATCCTTTCTTCAACTGTAATGTTCATGTTTCAAAGAAATTCAGATGTTATTTGTCTTATACTTCTACAAGTAGACATCCATAAACCTACCAGATCCCAGGAAGTCTTCCTGTCTTTACTTGTAATACTAAATCAAACAGTCTAAGCATTTTTATTTTCAACAAGGACTCTTGGGACATAGTTCTCTTGACTACCTAATTAGCTTCCTAACATAGATATTATCCTGGGAATATTCAACAACTGTATCCCTGGCTGCCATCTTCACACTTTACACTTGACTCTGTTAATAAGTGATAGACACTGACTGGTACTTATAGTAAAACTTTCAGTTTCAAGCTAAAATTTCTCTATACTCTATGACTTCCACATCATACAGGTGCCATCCTAAGTCTTTCATATTTTGAATACTCTCATTCATCTCTCATTTATAAAAATGGTGATATTATAAGCTGTCTTTTCAACATCTGAATGTACTCTCATCTTCTTAGCAACCACCCTTACATCAAATTTGACTGATCAAATTCTTTAACACTTAATGTATTTTTTGTGATTTCTCTGTTCTAACTGCATTAATCTACTTCTATATTGTCACAAATTACCACAAACTCCTTTGATAGGAATGGGTCATTAAAATTATTTTGTTAAATAGTATTAACTTTGTGGATGCACAGTGTTAGTTTGGTTTTATTTTCAAAATGTTCCTTGAAAAAGTACGTTAATACCAGTACCTTAAGTCTCTGGGGATTCCCGGTTTGTGGTCTTGGCTCTCATTGGGAAATTCCCTCCAATGATATAGGTCTCCAACTGTGGCCGTCATCCTCTGTTCACACCCACACTTTGTGTACAAAATCTATCACAGCACATCTTGTAGGCAGGACAAATGGTTTTTTATGTCAAAAGGTTTGTGGGATGTTCCAGGCACTCCTCTGGAAGTCTTGCCTGGTTACAGGAGATGTATCTCCTATTGCCAGGTGTAGGGAGCCGTCCCTGGTCACCCTCATGTATTCCTGGATTTTTCATTGCTCTAGGATTTTAGCTCATCCAAGAGATGCCACCATATTCCAGTTGTCTCTCCCAATAGTCTACCTGCCATTCTTCCCACAGCAGATACCCGCTGTTCCCATTCCTATTGTATTCCCACCTTCAGGCCCTGATCCCAATCCACTGGCAATGGCCAGTCTATTTTTGCTTCATGGTGATCCTCACATACACTTCACGTACACACACTCACACACCTCTCTCTTACACACACACACACACACACACACACACACACACACACACACACACACACACACCTTGAACCTTCCTTGTTACTTAGCTTCTCTGGGACTGTGAGTTGTAATATAGTTCAAGAGATCTATTATAGAACCAATCATGAATGAAAAAAATAAGTCAAAGAAATGATTCCTAATGATTTTTTTTTGCTATATTCATAGATTAGTGCCTAGACCAACTGTCAACAGAGAGGCTTAACCCAGTGAAAGATGAAAACAGATGCAAAGATCCACAGCCATACATTAGGTGGAGCTCAGGGCATCATGTGGAAGATGGGGAGGATGGATTGTAGGACCCAGTGGTGTCAAGAGCACCACAAGAAAACCCACAAAAACAACTAACCTGGGCCCATAGGGACTCACAGAGACAGAACCAACAACCAAGGAGCCTGCATGGGACTTACCTAGGTCCACTGATGGATTGCCTCATCCAACCTTGATAGAAGAGGAGATGTCTAATTTTTTTTTAAGTCCTCCTAGTTTAATCAAAAGGACAATGACTGGCTATTAGAAAAGTCTGTTGCATTCATAAATATATTTATAGGACACAAGTGAGAAATTTTAGGAATCTTTTTTCCATGTTTCTAAAAAGTGGCACTTTTGTCCTTTTTATAATTCCACTCATATCTGAGAAAGTTTTACTTATAAAGTATAATTTTTAATGTGTGTTTCATTGTGTGATGAATACACATCCATAAAGAATAACGTAGCTGGCTGATATCCATGGGATGCCTGGCTCTATCTGAAGAGAAACAGTGAATGGGGCTAGGGAAGAAGGGCTGGGCAGAGAAGATGGATGGGAAGCTTTGGTGAGGATGTAGAAATGAGAAAATAAAGAACAGGTTATCCTCTCCATCATTCCCTAGACTGTCAGTTCATGTCAACCTTGTGATGACTACTTTTTATGCCATCCTAGAGCCCTCATCCAGTGGCTGATGGAAGCAGAGGCACACACCCACAGATATACACTGAACTGAACTCTGGAACCTAGTAGCAGAGAGGGAGGAATGAAGATCAAAGGGGTCGGTACCAGGCTGGTGAACCCTACAGAAACAGCTGGCATGAACAAAGGGGAGCACATGGACCCCAGACTGCTGTCTGGGAGGCCAGCACAAGACTGATCCAGACCCCTGTACATGGATGTCAATTAGGTGGCTTATGCACTCTAGGGGGCCCCTGGTAGTGGATTAGTATTTTTCCCTGGTGTAGGAAGGGACTTTAAGAGCCCATCCCACGTGAAGGGATGCACTCTTGGTCTGGACACATGGGGGAGGGCCTAGGCCCGGCCCAGGATCATGTGGTGGACTTTGGGGAACCACCATCAAGGCCCTTACCATGCTTGGGGAGTGGAGGGTGGATGGGGTGAGGGGAAGGTGGGAGGTTGAGGGTAAGGGTTGGGTGAGGGGAGGGAGAGGGAGAAGGGATTGACATGTGAAATAAGCCTGTTCCTAATTTGAACTAATAAAAAAAAAAGTTTAAAAAAAATGGGGCCAGCATACCTGAACACATGATAGTCACTGAGTGGGAGGAAGTGCTGTGGTACCAGGTATGGCATTTTCTATCTCCTTTGATTATATTTGCTGATGCACAAACCAGTAATAAACATGATCAACAATAAAAATAAATAAATGTTTTAGTAACAGATACTAATGCATGATCTTTTATGGAAATTAATACACAGTTAAGATATTTTTATACAAAATATTCTGGGTGATTTTTTTAACTTATGACTTTCTTAATATATAGTAAGTATAAAAGTATGTGTGTATGTGTGAATATTTTTAAACACTCACAAGGCTTGTTTGTACATTCATGTATGTGTTCACAACTACAATTATTCAAGTAAAATATTAGGTTTTCTTGCAATTTACAGTATTACTTTCTTTTTTTCCCAGTTTGTGAAAATGATTTTTATAACTGACACCAAGCTCCATCCTTGAAAATTTTCTAAAGTCTAATACTCTATACCATGGTTTGTTCTAAGAATAGCATCAAATTCCTGAACATTTATAAAATTGCCAGCTATACTTTTATTCTGTATCTAGAGGTTGGTGTAGCTATCAGAACTCACAAGATAAGATAGTGCTGAGTGTACGTTGGTGTGTGTGTGTGTGTGTGTGTGTGTGTGTGTGTGTATGAGTGCATGCACAGGCAAGTAAGTAATGCAAAACTCCCAACTAATCAAAGTGCCAAGAATGAGTGCCTGCAGAGTGCTCAGCCAAAATTTGGGCATCTATATTGCACCTGTTCTCTGCAGATGTAGGGAAAAACTTGGAAGAGGAGGCAGACAGATTGGAACTGAAAGTTGAGTGAAGATGGGGTTGAAAATATTTTCTGTACGTAAGAGAACCTTGTGAATACTGAGCAGTTGTGATTGCCTGCACATGATCAATGCATTC